CTCCGAAAATAAGACCTACTTACAGGTTTCCTTCTGAGTGAAATATAAGTCATCCCCCCAAAAATAAGGCCTCCCTAGGCTCTGTCTCAGAATGAAAATGAATTTACCATAAACTGGTCGCAAGGGCCACCCAGACTGGAGTCTAGCAACCAATGGCTTTACTCAGAGTCCTGACATCACTGCTGTGTGGAGGAGGAGCAGAGGTCAGAGTGAGCAGTGAGCATGGGGCGGGAGAGAGGAAGAGACTTTCGCAGATGCCTGTAGAAAAACAGGAGGATTAGAGCGGACTGGACACGGCAAAGGTGCTGAGTGCTGGCCTGTCTCTGGTGACACTACCTGATGCTCGCGGCCACCCTCATGATGACTGAAGGTTCTCAGTCAGTGGTAGACCCCGCTCCAGCCCAGATCCAGGCCCCAGCAAGCCCAATGACAGTCCCCAAACAGGCCCCAGGGGGTAAATGTCTGATAAAGGGGTATGGGGGATGTCTGGTGAAGGTGTTCAGTGCCACAGGGGTGGGAGGAGGGGGATCACTTAAAATGACACAGGAGGATCAGAGGGGGCAATCAAAATGACACAGGAGGATCAAAAGGGGTTACTAAAATGGTAATCCCCCTTCTGATTCTCCTGTGCCATTTTGATTGCCCCCTCCGATCCCCCCTGTGTCATTTTAAGTGGTCCCCCTCCCTCCACCTTGATACCCCAATTCCTTTTTTTTACCCCTAGAAATGAGCGCAAAAAGAAAAAGCTACTCTGTGGAGTACAAGAAAGGAATCGTGGAAGACTCTTGGGGACAAAATCTTACTGCTTTCTGCAAAGAGAAGTTGAGTATCCGATTGGTCCGAAAATGGTGAGCAGAGTATGGTAACCTCATTGAACAAGTGGACAAGGTAAATGCTAAAAAGCACGAGTGTGGAACAGGTCAGCAAACATTATTTTCTGAGCTGGAAGACCTGATCTGTGAATGGGTCATTGACAGGACAGCAAAGGCTTTGGTTGTGAATAGGGCTCAGATTCAAGAATTTGCCCTTGCAATGGCACCACAGTTTGACATAGCCCCCAAGGACTTCAAAGCATCACAACACTAGCTGGATAATTTCCTTCAGTGAAGTGAACTGTCTTTAAGAAGATCTACCGGTACAACATTGTTTAGGTTGGAAGATACTCAAGTTATTAAGTGAGCACTTGCATTCAAGTCCTTTATTGATGCTGACTTCTCTAAATACAGTCTTTCCAACATTATTGCTATGGATGAAACTGCAGTGTTTACGGGCCAATCATCTCAAACAACAATTGAACAGAAGGGTGCCTCCTTAGTGTACATTCCCTCCACTGCTTACGAAAGTGCACGTGTTTCCCGTATTTTGGCAATTCGTCTGGATGGCACTAAAATCCCACCTTTATTCATTTCTAAGGGCAAGAAGGAAAAGATTGAACATGCTTTGTGTATTTTTATTCTTGAAACTGAAAATGCCTGGGCCACACAAGCAGTTATAAGGAAGTGGGTCAATTTAATGTTGCCACTTGTTATGTGAGAGAGCCAAAGAGGTCTGCTAGTCTGGGATGCAGCCAGCACTCACTGCGCTAAAGACATGAAGACATTTCTTCACAAAAGAAAAATAGATCAAATAATGATTCCCGCAGGAATGACGGCCTATCTCCAGACTCTTGAGATTGCAATAAACAAGCCATTCAAAGACAATTTGCACATGGAAATTAATGACTACATTGAAAATAGAATGGAGAGAAATCAGCTTGGAAACTTTGTGAAACCTAAACTGCAAGAAGTTGTGACGTGGGTGAAGAATTCATGGGAGAAAATCACTGACAGTTGCATTGCAAATACACTGCAAGCAGGCTACCTTGACAAGAAGTACTCATTTAAAGACAGTGCTATTGCTAAACATGAGAGATTTGGTCCACTGATTCTGAAAGAAATGGAGTCACAAGAAATTCACCAGGAAATTCAGGAATTGGATTATGATGATGATGTTCCAGAAGATGATGACATAAATGTCATTGAATAAACGAGTAAATTCTTGATACTGTAGGATTCACAGTTTGTCTGGTTTGTGTTGACAACTACCATACTACCGTACCATATACAGGTAATAAATTTCTTTTATTTTCATTTAACAATAAATGTGTACCGTATTCTTCTTCATGGAAAAATAAGACATCCCCTGAAAATAAGACCTAGTGCATCTTTGGGAGCAAAAATTAATATAAGACACTGTCTTATTTTTGGGGAAACAGGGTAATAAAAATTATTAAATATCTAGGTATTTTAAAGTGACAAAATACTGAAGTATTAATCTGAGTTTGCCAAATATGAAAAATCTAGAGAATAGATTTGAATCTCTTAATTAAATGTCTTTTATTTTATTTGAAATATATCTTTAAGAGTAAATATATATTACTAATCTGAGAAATGCCAAGTATTTATCTTGACACCTAAAATTTGAGGGTTCCAAGAGTTAAAAGTTCTGGGAGAAATTATATGATTGTAATAACAAAATGCATAAAGTATAGAAATTCATTTTTGAGAAAAATCTTATATTTTCTCTGGAGAACTTAGTAGTTCAAAATGTATTGTAGTCATGTGTACTACATGTAGTAAAATTTCAACTGAAGATATAATATTTTATTGGCCTGATTAAAAAGAGAATTATATGGTCTGAACCAAATTTTTCATATTAAAACCAGTTTAAATTTAATTGATATATTTTAGATTACTAAAAGTGTATAATATAATCTTTGGGTTATGTATATTTGATAGTCTTTCCCAGTTAAATTTCAAGACTTTAATTGTGAAATAGCTTTGGGACATTTTGATGGCCCTAGAATGATTCAAGGATTTATTCTCTCTTTTTAAAAGAAATATTTTTGAACTAAATTAGGCTGATCTAAAATAGTTGAGATCATGTGGGAAGCTTTATTAAATAAAAATTAATAACTGTATTCTATTTATATTCATATATTTTATTTTTTTAATTTTTTAAATATACTTTTTGATTTTTAATAGAGGGAGAGAGATAAAGAGTTAGAAACATTGATGAGAGAGAAACATTGATCAGCTGCCTCCTGCACACCTCCTACTGGGGATGTGCCCTCAACCAAGGTACACACCCTTGCCTGGAATTGAACCTGGGACCTTTCAGTCCACAGGCTGATGCTCCATCCACTGAGCCAAACAGGTTAGGGCTATATACATATATTTTAAATGTTATAAAGGTTTCAGCCTCTAAGCTTAGCAGGACAAGGTTGCTAAATACTCATTAGCTTTTCACAATATAATCAAGGTCTTATATAAACTCAGTATATGAGAAGCCAATATTTTATGAGCAATAGGTTCTAGTAAAATCCAAAGTAAAATTTGCATACATATGCAAATGAGCAGTAGCCCAAAAGAATGCTGTTTAAAAGTAAAATGTAAGTTTAATAAAAAGGAGAAATTTTAAAATCTTTCACTATTTACAAAATAAACTAAAAGTTATTATTCAAGCATTAAATCTCACCATTAAAGAGACACCATAAGTAAAAAGAGTTACTTTTACTTGAAATGTATGCATTGCAGTATTGGCCACCATACCTCTCTCCTACTGTTTTTGTGAAAAGTAACCAAGTTTATTGCTCTGTTTAAAAGAAAGTAAAAGTTTAAGAAAAAAAACAAAAAACTCATTATATGTGGCTTAGAGATTTCTCTGCAGAAAAATACAGAGGAAGATATTCTTCAAATACTTAGGAACCGTAATAAAAAATCCAATGTATTAGGTCTCAAAAGGTAGAAATATGCAAAGATTGCCTTAAATGATTTTCAAAAATTATTAGAGGATATTAATTAATTAAGACCTTATCTAAAAATTTCTATGGGAGAAATGAACAATTTATTCAACATATTTAGGGGTGACTCTAATCTTCCTTGCCCTGAACATTAACAAATGAAGATAGGAAAGAGTTATTAGGAATTGAGCAGCCAATATCCTCAGCCTAAGTAACATGGATTCAGACTGAATTGCCTTTATTAGTACAGATTAATCCTACTGTAAATAGTCCTACTGGAGTCATGTTCCAAAATAAAAACTCTTCTACTAATATTGAGTGGGCCCACCTAGGGCATCAATCTGCTAAAACTGTGGTTATATATATAGAACTTATGGCTCAGTTAATATCTCAACTCAGAAAGCACTGCAGGCAGCTTAGAGGAGAAGAACCCCAATGCATCTATCTTTCCCTTACTGGGAAGCTATTAGAAGTGTTATTTCAGACTGATTTGAATTGGCAAATTAAGGGGAATTTGGTTTTCACCTACAAAAAAAAATATTACAATCTTTATATTACATACCTACTATTATACCAAGAAATACTAGGCAGAAACAAATTCCTGGAGCATTAAGTGTTGTTACTGATGGTTCATCTAATGGTAAAGCTGCTTATCATGCAATGAATTCAGAATGGGTCATCCAGACCAGTCATACTTCTATGCAAATAATTAAATTGGAAGCTATCAAGACTGCACTACAGAATTTCCAAAAGCCTCTTAATATTATTTCTGATTCTGCCTATGCTTCTGGCTTGGTAAATAGAATTGAGACTGCTTGATTAAATGGCTCAGTGACCAAAGTCTATTTATACTATTTAAGCAGGTGTCATTTCCAGCAATTTTGTAAAAATTGGAAAATTCAGCACATTATGGGAATACTATACAATTACCAAGGACAGCCAATTATAGAACACCAACATCAGCAGCTAAAATCCCAACTTGAAAAACAAAAAGGGGGAGTAGTGGAGGAACCTCCTGTAAGTAAACTACATCAAGCTTTAATTATTTTAAATTTTTTCACTTGTAATGCTGATGGCAAGACACCCACGGAATTACACTAGTGTCAGGATAAGTCAAAGGAAAATGGTCTGGCTAAATGAAAAGATCCCGTGTCTGGCTTACGGAAGGGCCCTGAACCCTTGTTGACCTTTGGTCGAGGATACACTTGTTTATTTCCAGAAAACTCCTCCAAGCCTGTGTGGATTCCTACAAGGCCTCAACTTGTACCTATGGCTGCAGACAATCCACTACTCCAGCCTCAGATAGCAGTAGTCCCAAGCAGCATGCTGAAGATAAGGAATGGAAGGAGAAAGAGACAAAGGAGAAACAGTCAAGAGATGACCTGGGGATGGTGAAGAAGCCTTGCCATGCTAGCAGTCATCTGTGGTGCAATGGTGCAGGTTGCCGTGGACAAAGCCAAGGAAGGTCGGACCTGCATTGTCATTGCCCATTGTTTTGACAACCATTCAGAACATGAATATCATTGCTGTCATATCACAGGGGAAATTCAAAGTGATTGGAAAGAGGAAGTCAAAGAACTGATGGCCCAGGAAGGAGCTACTACAAACTAATTCTTAAATGCCTGACAGCAATTTAAAAGGACATGAAAGAATTTAATCCTTTTCATTGGGCCTTCCTACATTTGCTTTTCATTCTTGCTCTTATATTTATTTCTAGTTTGCAGATGTTAATGAAAAGTCTTAAAAGGACTCAAGCCCTGCATTTGGCATACACTATTTAGATTTATTAAGAGAACAAAAAGTGGGAAATGCCACAGGCTAAAACCAACAGTAGGTAGTATATAAAGGCAAAAAGACCCATTGGAAGGCCATTGGACTTTGATATTCAGAAAGGCTGAGAATCATATTAATGTTGCCCTGCTGTGGGCTCAATGGCTGAAGGCAATTCCCTAATATGCCTGGATGCATTCTTAAAGGGCAAATGTGTGTTCAAGTGAATAAAAGCTGACAGGTCCAGGGCTTCAGTGAGCTTCTCCACTAGAGAGGGGTTGCCACCTGGCCCCATGCCTTCTACATTCATATTTCATGTCTAGTGTTTTAATTTGTGTGTGGCCCCTTCTGTAGATCTTGAACCCTAGACCAGCTCTGTCCAAGCCCAGCCATTCTAGCATTTTGCATTAATTGCACCTGGTTGGAGTTTTCAGTGCTGATTCAAGATACCAAGGTACTCCTGTTCCTCACCTATAAAACTCAAAGCCATGTCTTCCCATTTCAGAACCAAAGCAAAAATTTTTTTCAACAAACAACCTAAGAACACCTACCTTGTAACAAGTATACATTATACTGCATGTTTATTTAAATACTAGGGGCCCAGTGCACTGATTTATGCACTGGTGGGGTCCCTTCGCCTGGCCTGTGTCCTCTTGCAATCTAGGACTCCTCAGAAGATGCTGGAGATTCAGCCTGATCCCTGCAGGCCCAAGCCAAGGGACCTCCGTGGTGCACAAATCCTCTCCCCACATTCCTTCTGAGATTCATCAGTCAGTTCCATGTTTCCATGCCTGTACTGTGCCTGCCCCCTGGTGGTCAGTGCATGTCATAGCTACCGGTCGATCAGTTGCACAGTCACTGAGGCTTTTATATATATAGATGTAAGATTTTAAAATATAAAACTAGGCATGGCTCCATTCTGGCAATAATCCACGATATGATCAGTACAACACAGTCATTTTATTGGAGCTAGGTTATGAAGAAGACAGAGTTACTAGGAATATGCTAATACTCACACAAACAGTTACTGGGGCATTTAACAAATGAGGGGTACATTCTGTTTGCAGGAGGATTCACCATTGAAGAGAAAAGACTAGAAGGAGACTCACTATAATAAATTCTTGGGAGGGATTAAGAGAGGCAGGAGCAGCTGTGGGGTCAGCTGGTGGCTACACTCATCATGTGGTTCCCTCTGGTGCTTTGCAGATCAACATGGCATAGAGCAAAGAGGGTCATGTCATCCTATCTGTGACACGTGATTCATCTCAGTGCCAGAATCATCCTGAACCTTCAGAAAACAAAGAAGAAATGTCTAAAGCATTCAGAAATGTCAGAGTCATATATGTCCTCAGAGTGGGACTTCCCGTCTCTCTGGGTGTCAGCCCCTAGCCATCCTCAGGGACAAAGCCTCTTCACCTCCATCCCTGTCACATCACTGACCCCTAAAGTCCTTCTTATCCAAAAGGATTGAGCTTTCCATGGAGATAAGTGGGTTAAGAACTAGTGACATCACTGACCAGCCTGATACGCAACACAACACACCATCTGGACCCCATGTGAAAGCTGTCCTTGCCCACTCACCTTAGCCCAGAACACCAGTAACTTAGCTCAGTAACACCAGTACCTGCCCAGCTGATTCTTAGGGAGTTTGCCAATGGTAACACTTTACCATCTGACCTCCTGTCCAGGAGGTCCCCTCCCCCCATCTTTCTGACTGCAGCCTGTCAGGCCAGCAGTACACCTGTGAAGGTTCTGTTCTGCATGGCTATCTGTCTACCAGGCACACCCATCTAGGGCCCCCGGTGCCAGGACCATACAAATGCTAAAGAATAAAGAAATGTCCATCTGCCTAAAGGACAGACACCCCAATCCATCTGTAGGAAGAGGGGCCAGAAATCACCAACACCTATGGGATTCTTTGGCCCTAAAGAATGGACCAACCTGATTAAGAGCAATGCAATGATGCAGAATGACCAGGGTCCATGCACACATAGGAGGGCCCACAGCCCCAGATGCCTCACTTGCAATTCATGGTGAGCCTCCTATGCATATGCCCACTGATACCTGAATACTCTTGCTTCACACACACACACACCCAGACATACACAAGTGGGGTGCTGATGAATGCTGACCACTCTCAGGAGGATACAGGAAAGACATCATTTGTGGTGAGTACCCGGTACAAATATTTCCAGCATGACTAATTTCAAGCTACCCACCTGATGAACAGAGCCCCAGAGAGATATGTAACATCAACTATCCCAAGCTGGTATGAGCCAGTTCCAGTGCACCCCATCCCCTGTCATATGATTATGTGTGTACAAGGCACTAACACCTGGAATAGAAAGCTCCACTCCATTCCCAACCAGATATATAAACAAAAATTTACATATATGAACACACATGTTCATTTCTACCCTCACTCTCCCTGAATATACAGATAGATCACTTCTTAGTACCTAAATTGTTACCAACAAAACTAATCATCCTGAATATTCACATTCTACCCCTACAATTATACACAAACACACAACATGGGCCTGTATATAAACATGGGCAACCAACATACTACCCAGATATACACACTGAATACTGAATACTTCAGACTCTAAAAATATCAAGTACACAACTGTCTTGTGTGTCACCCAAAAAAGATCCATATGTAACCCTACAGCCCTAAAATGCACATACTCCATGATTCCAGAACACACACACACGCACGCGCACACACACACACACACACACACACACCCTGGACAGTCTCTTTGTTTGCAAACACGCAAAGTGAATGTTCACATTCCCTAGAATACACAGCCCATCCACAAACTCCAGGAACTTAAATACACACACAGTCACAAACAACTACTTATCAAATACATATAAGTCCACCTCACACACAATGAGAGGACACATACAAGCACCACCAACAAATTCTGCAAGCATTACATTCTGGAACAGATGCAAAGAGGACCCTAAGCCTGCTGACACACTCACAAATCCCAAATACACAGACCTCAAACCACTCATGAATATCCACCCCACACACTCAGACAGATACATGCAAAACACAAAAGAGGTGACAATCCTTTAACTTCACTAATGTGCATACACAACTCTCACACACCTATGGAAACACACACACACACTCCCAATACCTGGATGTATACACCCCTCAAACACTATGCATTATGCCACCTCTCCAGAATATAACCTCATCACCTCCCCTCTGCAGTATGTAAGAAAAGCACACTGTACACGTTTTCTCCAGCATCACTGAATATACAGACCACTGCTTGCTAACTACTAGCAAATACATATAGCAATACTTTAGTATTCTCCAAAGAAATATACTTTAAATACACCTAAGAGCCCCTGAACATACTGGTAATTCAAGCACCTGGTGATAGATATAAGCACATACCAGTATACATGGGCAAGACATGCAGAAGTATCTCCAGCAAATCAGATATGAAATAGCTTCCAAATTACCTGACTAATGAGTCAGCTCTCATATCAACAAATACTAAACAATAACCTTATCACTCACCTCCCATACATAGTAGACACAATCCTCCCACTCCCCTGTATAAGCACAGAAACCCCTCTCTCCGCCAAATACACACATACCCGGTACCCAAAATATATAACCCTTAGGAATCCCTTCAGAAAAATACAAACACGTAGCTCCAGCAAATATCCTTCCCCACGGCCATGGCCCTGGAATACACAGGAATGAACACGTCAACTCCACACACACACTCTCCACAAGCCCAAAATAGACCCACAAACACCCAGTGCACTGCAAATATGCAAACCCACCTCCCTATATTTATGTCCCAAATACACTTCATGCCACACCATCTGCGTTCACAGAACCCCACACTCCAAAATTCCCACAGAACCCCACACTCCAAAATTCCCACTCTTCTATCTTACAGAATACAGCCACACACACCACACCGAATCTCACTATCACTACTGCACACCTGCATATACAGACCTACCAGTCCTAAAAACAGTCACAGATCTGCCCTCTGCACAGGGAAACAGGCGAAGATCACAAAAAGAAATACACATAACATTACATCATGCCCCGAATACCAATGACCAGTCTACATTCCCCAAATACAAAAAATAGATCATACACCCAAGCTAATGAACGCCTGCACTTGTCCTAACATTGCCCTATGCGTATGCAGATAATCCTTCCAAATCTGCTAGAAGAAAAACCCGGAATTCAAAGGGGGAAAAACAAAACGGGTAACATTTCAGCAAACACCAAATTACAAACACATTACCACCAACTGCTTGAGTATTTATGCACTACATCTCAACACCCTCCAAATACAGCACTCAACCCTACACACTCACAGAAACACAGGCATGACCTTCCCGTGATCACAGACATCCACAGACAGAACGAGCGCACACATTTGAATCCACACCTCAGATTCCTGCCACTGAGTGAACAGGGCACAGACCCCAGGCCTGCCCTCCACTCCAGGCCTCACACATCCCAGGCCTCACACACCCAGGCCTGCCCCCCACCCCAGGCTTCATACACCCAGGCCTGCCCCCCACCCCGGGCCTCACACACCCAGGCCTGCCCTCCACCTCGGGCCTCACACACCCAGGCCTGCCCCCCATCCCAGGCCTCACACACCCAGGCCTGCCCCCCACCCCAGGCCTTACACACCCAGGCCTCACACACCCAGGCCTGCCCCCCATCCCAGGCCTCACACACCAAGGCCTGCCCCCCACCCCAGGCTCCGGGCAGAGGCATTAAGTGGTCACAAGGCCGCTGCCCTCAGGGCGGGGTGCGGGGAAGGAAGCCGTGGGCTGAGGGGCTCCAGGGGGAAGGAGCCCCGGGACCTGTGGGGAGGGGAGGCTCCGCCATGTCCGCTCATTTCCAATGAGGGCAGCTTCCTGCTGACCCGGAGGCGCTTTCAGATCCGGAAGAACTGGCGGGAGCTGCGTGTCCAGAAAGCGGGGACACAGAGGAGCCGGGTGGACAGCTCACGGGCATCACTGGACCCCGTGGAGGCCCCGCACACTGACCGCCCGCCCAGCACCGCCAGTCAGAGCCCATTCCCCTGTGAGCACCACCGGAAGTGAGGGGTGGGGAACACAGACCTGGGGGCAAACAGCAGAGAAGAGGGGGACACCTGAGGGGTGCGGAGGCCGCGCGCCCCTTCCCTCCTGTTCACCTAACGGACTCCCCAGGCCGCCATGCCAGGCCCCACGTGCAGCCTGGGAGGCTGTTGGGGACGCGCCCTGCCATTAGCGCATGCGCGCCTCTGGGAGCCAACTGCCTTAGCGCATGCGCCTATGGGAGCCAAAGGCCTTAGCGCATGCGCCTGTGGGAGCAACTGCCTTAGCGCATGCGCCTATGGGAGTCAACCAACCGCCACAACGAATGCTGGGAGCAGTTGCAGGACAGAGCCCCGCCCCCAGTGGGCGTGCTCCTGCGTCCTAGCGCGAGGCACCCTGGGAAGAGGCCCAGGCTGTCCCTGCAGCAGAGGAAGGGGACGCTAACCCCGTCCCTCCTGTATTTATTTAGTATGTGGAGGTTTTTCAATAAATGCTGCTTCACAGATGTTTCCTTTGCAAGGTTGTTGTTCAAACAGTGGTCAAAACGTGGCCGTCTGGGCCAGCCAGTTTCCCTAGACATGGCAGGTAGCATGGAAATAATGTCAGCCTGCATTTTTGTATTATATTGCAGAATTTCAGTTGGCAATAAAACATATGTATAGTAGCAGAATCAACTTATTCACTTGAGTTTGTCATACTTTCCAAAGAAACTGAAATTATACAATCATCTTTCTGGCCATTTGCAAGAAGGGAAAGAGGCAGGAGATAGAAGCATCACTACATTTTCCATTTTGCACAAGTTGTGATCTATGCAAAGGCATTACTTGTTTAAAACATTACATTAAAGTCACTCAAAGAGCAAAAAGTTAGACATTGAACAACCTAATACAACGAGAAACAAAAGTGGTGATTTCTGGCCTTGCCCTGTAGGTTGCAGGGCCTTGCCCTGATGGACTGGGGCAAAGGGGATGGGTTGTAAGGCTGGGCCGGCTGCATCTGCAGGGCTCCCAGCACTGGGTGGAACTTGGGGCCACAGGACTGCTTCCTAAGGAATGAGGTGCACATGGCAACCCAGCATGCTGCCTCTGTGGAGTCAATCCTAATTTCAAACACTGGGATCTGTGAGCAATATGTTCCCATTATTTCTTCAGGCAACATGTTCTGAATTTTGTTCAGAAATGTAGCCTGCGTTGAAGTAAATCAAGACCAGATAGGAAGCAGGTTGAGGGACCCAGAACTAGGGTGATGGATCAAGAACGGAGATAAAGGACACATCAATAACCGGGTGCCTAGAACTTAACCTTGGGGGTCATTACTGTTAGTGTGTCTTTAAATTTATGACTTTAAATTTGAATGGAACTGTTGGTTCTTGCCTACCTATCAGAGCCCTCCATGGAATGCCCCCCACCACCTCAGCCAACCAGTCCTCTGCCCCTCCCCCACTGCAGAAGGTCAGGAGCCCCACATTCTACTGTTTAAATCCCAACCTTCCCTCCACTGGATGGTGAGCAGCTGTTGGAGCAGGTCACTCTCTGGATCCTCAGCTTGACTTTTCTTGTTGTGGAGGCTTCTAGGCAGCGGTGGTCCGTGAATGAGCCCGTGGGGATGGCTTCAGTAGGAGGTAGGACTATAGACTGGAGGGGGGAAGTTTTAAACACTGAGCTGTCCCTCAAGACTTGGGATTGAAATGTGAAACTGGGGAAACATGGTTTGACTGAAGTAGGGGGCAGAGAACACTGGACCTCCAAGGACCTGTCACCCTGGGAGGCTGGGAGCCAGTGGGAACCGGTGATGGCACTGGCCGGGAGGGCTCCTCAGAGGGGGTCAGGGTGGCTCAGGGACATGCTTGGGTGTGGAGGGGGTCAGGGTGGCACAGGGTGGTCATGGGAAAGCCCAGTCCTGTGTGCTGTTCTGGGGCACCTGGAGCTGGCCCCGCGGCATCTTTTTAAGGGATTGAACTGAGTGCACTAGAGCGAATAGGGGCGGTGGGAGGGTGGTCTTAGCCAGAAAGCTGTCCAGTGGGGCTGTGTGTGGCCAAGTCCACAATGAAATGTCCTCCCGAGTGCTGGGCTGGAAGGTCCTCCACCGGCTGCAGCCCAGAGCTTCTCCCCTGCCTCCAGCCCAGAGCTCACTGCTCCTCAGCCCAGGGAACTGCTTGTTGGCTGGGATTCTACACGGGCAGGGCGGCCAGGAAACTTCCACCAAGACAGGGCCGGGTTCCCTGACTGTCCCCAATCGTTCCCCCCCGTGCCACCAAGGTCTTCAGCCCGACTCCCTCTTGTCCTGCATCTCATGGTGCACCCTCTGCCCTGCCTTTACCTTTGGGATGAGGGTTTTGAGGTCAGTGCATGTCCCTGCTTCAGAGACACAACAGATGTGGACCATGGGTGGTGTTCAGTGGAACATCTGCGAAGGGGGTATCCTTTTAAAAGGGGGAAGGAAAGCACAGGGGCAGGAGGACCATGTCTGTGTCAGTAGTAAAGGGCCTAGGCCACCTGTCCTGAGTAATGAGGGTGCGGTGTGAAGCGTGCTCTCCTGGACGAGGTCTGCTCTGGTTCCTCTGAGCGGGGATGTGTTCAGACACCTATGTTCCACTGTCACCACTCACACCTGCTTCCTCTGTGCCTTCACTTCCCACTGTCGGGAGTTGGAGGAGGAACAACCTCAACAGTTTGCAGTCTCATGACCCACCTAACAGGACAGCAGCTCTGGAAGTTTCTGGAGCTCCACTCTGCCCCATTCCGTGACCCTCCTCTGACTCTCTGCAGCCATAGCTGGCTGTGAAATGACAGAGCTCCTGAGGGTGGCCATCAGCCTGAGCCTGGGCCCAGTGGCAGGACCTGGCCGTGTTAAGTGTTCACTGTTGGTTCTGACACACGTGCATGCTGGGCGGAGTGTGGAAGGTTAGATCAGGGTTCCTGTGCCTTCTTGTGGAGAGACATCACTCGAGTGTTTCTGTGTTGTTGTGCAAGCCCAGGACAGAAAGGGGGCGGTTTGTACTGAGGAAGAGGAAGACTGAGGAGCAGATGGGCCCTAATGTGTTAGACACGGCTGTTCTCAGAGGCTCTTTGGGTGCCTAGAACTTACCTCGGAGATGTGAGTTCCAAGGTCACTATTGTTGCCCCAGAGCAGACGTCTGCCCAGGGCCAGGCCTCTGAGGCTGGCAGGGTCGGTGCCGGGGAGTCCTTAGGGAGGCTCTCAGGGCAGCGCTGGCTGGGCTGGTGCTTCTCGCAGACAGGGGTCAGGGAGCCTTGGCAAACGGGGAGTAAGCTCTCCAGTGGAATAATTCCCAACTGGAGGTCAGAGTGTGACCATGACCTGAGGACATTTGCCACCTCCCAGTTTGCCCATCCAAAGGGCCCTCCCTGGTGAGACTCACTGCCCTGGTTCCCCAGCGGCTAAAGGGGCCCAGAGCGCCTCAGTGCTGTTTGCTGGGCCTCCTCCTCCATTCCCCCTTTCCTTTGTCTCCACAGCATCTGCAGCGCTGGGAGTGGATGTGAGCCTGAAGCCTGGTGCCTCCCTGACTCCTTTCATGGCCCAGCCATGTCCCCCGCCCTCTACTGGCCTCGCACACCAGCCCCCTGGGGAGCAGCACCTGCCGCCCCCCAGGACCCCGTCATTCCCTCCTGGCCGCCCCCTGGTGCTGCCGGCTTGGCCCAGGACACCTCTGGTGGCAGGAGATGCTGGTCAAGGCCCCGTTGGGACTGGGGCTTACAACATCATGGCCCAGGTCAGCTCAGAAGGGAGGCGACCACAGCCCTCCCAGACTCAGACCATTGTCCTGACCCAGGCCCCCCTCTATGGGAGCGCTCCAGGTGCCACCTGTGGGGGTGCTGTGTGTCCTGCACCCCTCTTCTTGGAAGCCACTGCGGTGGAGAACATTATGCCTGCCACGGCTTTTGGGGGCACCCAGGCCGGCGATGGAGGCTGGTGTCCCAGCCTTCCTCCTCAAGCTCCACCACCAGCTGCCCAGCTGATCCCCATTGTCCCCCGAGTGGACCCTGGAACACAGCCACACGGGGCTGCCAGGGAGGGTGGCCTGGCCGCCTCCCAGTCCAAGGCCTCGCTGGACGCCTCTGAACCCAAGAGTGTGTACGAGGACTTCCTTCGTTGGCGGAGCTTCAAGGCCCTGGCCCGGGGGCACCTTCCCCAGAGTCCTGATGTGGACGCTCTTTGCTGCTTCCTCATGTGAGTGCACTGGGCAGGGCAGGGGCGCCCCTGGAGCTTTCCCATCACAGAGGGGGTGGGAGGGCCCTGCAGGCAGGCTGATGCTGGGACGCTGGCGAGAAGGCCTGAGGGTGGGATCCCAGCGATGGGTGCGAGTGCGGGGTCACCTCCAGGCCTGGTTCATGGGCTGGTGTGTAGTGAGGCCCTGACAGCAGTAGCTGGAAGGCCTGTCTGCACACAGATGCCTCCTCCCTCACCTGTGGGTGCTCAGTCCTGCCGGGTGGGGATGGGACGGGCTCCACTGAGCTGGGGTGGCCAGGCAGGTGGAGGCCAGGCTGGGCGGTGACTGACCCTGAGGCATTACAGGCCAGAGCTCCGGCCCCTGTCCCGCCTGAAGCCCACCATGTCGCTGGCAGAGGGAGTAGGGCGGGCCATGCAGGAATGGCAGCGCAAGAGCCACTGTGACCGGAGGCTCTATTTCGAGATGGCAGAAAAGTGAGTCAAGGTCCTGAGTCCCCACACCGGGGGAGGGGGCTGACTGCGGGGCAGGGTCCAGCAGTGAGGTCCAGCAGAGAGGAGGGGGTGGGAGGGTGTCACTCAGCACAGGGCCCCCGCATCCCAGAGGCCCTTCCTCCTGGGGAAGCCTCTCCCTCAGCTTCAGAGTGTGGGTGCTCCTGTCCCACCTCCCGGGAGCTCCCCCTCCTCTGAGGCTGACCCGTCCTGGGCGGGACATGAAGGCTCAGGACAGGCTGGGGAGGGGGTGCCCGCCCAGAGGGCCAGTCCCCAGCCAGAGGAGCTGTGCAGCAATGTGCCAGCAGCCTCCTGCCTCCCCAGGGTCCGGGCCCTGACAGCCCCAAGGCCCTTGCTCTCCATCCTCCGCCCGCTGCTGCCTGTGCGGGCTCCTGGCGGCTCCTTCTCAGCACAGCCTGTGCCCTCACCCCAGGTTCATGGCGTTTGAGGCGGAGGAGCAGATGCAGGCTCAGAAGTTGCAGTTGGAGAAGGGGGCGCGGACCCAGCCTCCTCCTGCCCCACCGAGACCTGGTCCTCGGGGGCTCCCAGCCCCAGTGGTGGGGGCACAGCCAGGTACGCCAGCACGTTCCCACAGGAGCCCCTGACCCCAGGCAACAGGGCCCAGCGCAGGCCCCTGTCCCCCACATGGCCTTCTCCTCAGGGGGCTTTGGGCTTGAAGGGAAGCAGCCCTGAGAGCCGGGCCTCAGCGCCCTGTGTCCCCATGGGGTCTGGACCGGGTCCCCTTTCTCATCCCCTCGCCCCGCTCCCTGCCAAGGGCCCACATGAAGTCTGCTGAGAAGCAGGCTGGCTGTGGGGCCCCTTGGGAGTCGGTGGCTCCCCAAGTCCTCACGGCTGACCCTCTTCGGTGCTCCCCTCTGGCCTCCCCTCACACAGTCACAGGCTTCAGTGGCCCGACCCAGCCGCACCCGTGTTACTGCCCCAACACTGCCCTCCGCATCGGGTGCCCTGCAGGTGGGAGCTTTGTTCCCTCACGCTCCTCCTCTTCCCTCTGCCCAGCGCCCACTCCCAGGAAGGCTGTACCCAGCGCCCAGCGCGCCCACACCGCCCAGCCGCCCTGGGAGACCGAGTCACACGACGGGATCCCCCCTGAGGCCGAGCAGGAGGACATGGACCTCACGGAGGCGCTGCCCATGGGGGCGCCCGGCGGAGGATGGGCAGAGGAAGTGAAGGAGTGGCTGCAGGATGAGGGTCTCCTGAGCTACCTGGACCAGCTGTGCTCCCAGGAAGACTTTGTCACCCAGGTGGGCTGGCCCGCAGCTCCGGGCCTACAAGGTCCCAGAGGGTGGCGCTGCTGCCCCCAGACCCGGGTTTCCCCAGGCTGATGGGATGGGGCTCTGCTGTTTGCTCCTGAGCTGGGCGCCTGAGCGTGTGTGTGTCTGTGTGTGCATGTGTGCGCTTCGTGTGGGTGGTGTGTGGTATCTGTGTTCATGTGGGTGTCCCCTTGTGTGTGTGTGTGCATGCATGTGTTTATCTGTGTGTGCATGTGTGTTCATGTATGTGTTTCTCTCGGTGTGCATGCAAGTCTGTGTGTATATCTACGTGTCTGTACCTGATGACCGTGATGGAGTGGAACACCCACCTGTGCAGGAGGACGGGGGGCCTTGGCTTTCCCACTTGTCCTCCAGGCCCCGCTGCCTCCCAGTTCCCTCCCTGCCAAGGGGCTCACGGCCGCTTCCTCTGTCCCAGGTGGAGGAGGTCATTGACCCCCAGTTCCTGAACCAACTGAATTCCCCAGACGCCCAGCTGGACCCCTTGGCCCTCGCTGAGGAGTTGGAGCAGGAAGAAGGGCTCACTGCTGCCCAGGTGAGCCAGGGCAGGGTGCCACCTTAGGGCGATGGGGGGACTCAAGTGACCATAGGACCCAGGGACCCCAGGGGAGTTAGAGGAGGGACAGGCCCTGGTGAGTCAGGGAGGGAGGGATTAAAGTAGATCGGCGTGGGTGGGACCTCAGGGAGCCAGGGAAGGGAGCACCCCAGAACCAGGACACATAGTTTGTGTCCATACCACCCCTGCCTGCAGGCAGCTCATGCTGAGGGTCCAACCCTGGGTGGGAGAAGAGTGGAAGGACAAGGAGGAAAGGGCTCCAGAGAGGAGGGGGGATGGGGGCCCAGAAGGGAGGGGCACAAAGCTGGGAATATGGCACAGGGGATGGAGGAGAGCCTCATGACTGCTGTGGATTGTAGTCAAGGTGTCACCTCCTCCCCTCCCCCCAGTGCCATTGTCCCATCGCCCGCTCCTCCTCCTCACACACGTGTGCAGCGCCAGTCACTGTCCCTTCTCCCTCCAGCTGGCAGAGAAGAGATTCCTGGCCTCCGAGGAGGGGGGCGTGCAGGCACCCCCGAGTCTCAGTGCTCCCCTGTGGGGCTCACGTCCTTCTGAGCCTGGGAGCAGCCAAGATGCCCGGAGGTGTGACCAGGGGCCCCAGCTGGGGGTCCGTGGCACAGCCTGCCCGCCAGAGACTGGCTTCCAGGACCCTCAGAGGCGCGGCCCAGCAGACACCCCCCGCTCCCGGCCCCCGGCTGGTGCTGTCTCTTCCGGGCGTGAGGAGCACCCACCGCTCCGGGCTGGATGCCCCCCCGCTGCTGCCCAGGGCCACGGGCCTGCGGACTCTGCACGGGCACCCAGGGCCGCCTGCGTCCCCGGAGAGGCCTCTGTGGTCAGGGAGAAGCTGGGGCCAGCGGCCAGGCCCCGTGAGGACGAGGAGGACCTCCCCAGCCTGGGCTTCCTCTGGGCCTCCCCCCGCCGTCTGCTGCCCTGCGCGCTCTCTCTGAGCCCTGGCCCTGCCTCGGGCCCGGCCTGCCCTGGAGGCCGGGGGCCCCGGGGCGCTGCCCAGGCCTGGTCCTTGCAGAGAGGAGGCCTCAGCCGCGCTTCCCCTGCAGCTTGCCAGCCTCAGAAGCGCGCTCTGGGGGGCGGCCCCGCCCATGCGGAGAAGATCCCCCGCCCAGGGCCCGACCTCGGGGTCTGGGGGAGGCCAGCACTGGCTCCGGGCCGGTTCCCTCCTCACAGCCTCACAAGAGAAAGCGTGAGCCCTCTGACCCAGGGAGCTGGAGGAAGCGGCACTGCAGCCAGAATGGAGCAGAGGGGAGTGCCCCCCACTGCCCGCGCCCCGAGGGGCCCAGACCTGATGGGACCTGGCTGTCCCCCAGAGGAGCCACGGGCTCCTTCTCATGGCAGGGCTGATCCTGCTGGTCCCCTGACCTGGGAGGATGGAGGCAGGAGGGAGAGCAGGACCCTTAAGAGCGGGTGGGTCTGGGGTGGAATAGGAGGGAGGGCAGGACCCTTAGGGGGGTGGGTCTGGGGTTGGGTAGGAGGGAGGGCAGGACCATTAGGGGGGGTGGGTTAGGATGGGGGTAGGACTAGCACCTGTGGGGCATTGTGGGTCAGTTATGAATAAAGATAGTTTTGTTTGAAAATGCTCTGGGGCTGCTGTGTCCATACTCGGGTCTGCGCTGCTCCTTGGAGGGGGACCTGAGAGGAAGGGAGGATGCGAGAGGTCCTGGGCGCTCTGCTCCCACAGGGGCCCTCAGTCCCTCCTCCTGATTGACAGGGACCTCCTCCCACTGCTCCTGGGAGCACACAGCTCTGTCATCCCCGGCGACCCCTCCTGTCATTCTGCTCCCAAGGCCTGACTGAGGCCTGAGCTGAGTGGAACAGACTGGGCCTCAGGGGCAGGCTGTCCCTCTGGGCCTCCTGCAGGGGGAGCACCCTGTCTCAGTGGGTGACTGAGAGTGAGGGGATGGGGGGAGGCTGGAACAGGGGTGACAGAGAGTAATGGCGACATGCCTGTTAAAGGGGGAACACGGGAATGACATGGCGGGAGGATACCAAGTCCCTTGCGGGATTTCTGTGTGGGACAGTCTTGTCCAGCTGCGGGAGGCGGACCCATCTGGTGTGGCTGGGGGCCTGGGCTCAGGGACAACGGGGTTTCAAGGAGCCTGGGCTGCTGTCCCTTCCCTCCAGCCATGGCTGGGCTCTGTGTGATAGATGCTGACACAGAGTTACATCCGCGTGGGAACAGGTCCTCCTCACACCCCTGGGCCCTTTCACCAGCGCCACCCGCAGGGGCGGCAGGGGCCCGGGTGCGTGTGGCCCAGGGCTGGTGGGAGCTGAGATCCAGGCTGAGGGAGGGGCCCCAGTCACCTCTGTGGGCACTGCTACAGACCCCTCAGACAAAGCGGAGCCCAAACCCCGGATGTAAGAGTGAGACGAGCCACAGTGAGGGCAGGAGCAGAGCCAGGAGGAGACCCCTGTCTGCAGAACTGCCTGTCCCAGCTCTGCTCCCACGTGGCCCCGCCCAGGCCCTCACCCCCTGCCTCAGGCCAATGCCTCTTCCCCAAGTTCACGTTCTGATTCCTTCCCGGGCTCAGGCTGGGTGGGAAGGCTGAGGCTCTGAGCAGGGCCCTGCCCACCCAGCAAGCAGAGCTGTGGCCCCGGGCGGAGGCCCCGCAGCAGCCATGGGAGGGCTGAAGCCCTGCAGTTCCAAAGGAGGCCTGGCCCTCTGCTGCCCACACAGCTCAGGGGAGAATGGCCTCATGTCAGGGCCTTCCCCTCCCACAGAATCCCAGGTCAGCCCGCAGCTCCTCCTCCGCTGACTTCTCTTGTCCTGTGGGGCGGGCAGCACCCACTCTCCGGCCTCTGGGCACTTTGTGAAGGAGACTTCTCACCTGGGCCCGTCTTTCCCGGCCGCTGCCCCTCCCTGCCCAGCTGGGCCTCAACACAGAGAAAGGGGCTCGGCAGTTGTGCCAGATTCTGCGTGTGCCGTGGGCTGGTCCAGAAGCTGCCAGCCCTCCCGGGTCAGCACTCTCCCCATGGGCACCGGATGTGTCCCTGCCTGGGTGGCCGGCCCTGGATGCCAATGTGAGGCTGAGGGACACAGCCTGGACCCTCGTTCCCTGGTGCGAATTAGTCCTGGGACTTCCCTGCTTTCAGGGTCTCGGTGGTGAAATAGGTTACCCCATCTCTCCCCAGGTTGTCAGGAACAGTGAGTATGTTTGAAGGGAACACACTTGCTCCACCTGTGTGCCTTGTCACCACCATCAGGTTCACACCTGGCCCCGGGTGTCTCTGCGCCTGTCCCCACTAGCCTGCTGTTTCTGCCTTTGAGTCATTGGGTGAACAGTTCCCAGCGGGAGGCAGAGCCTGGGCTGCCCCCACCTTGGAGACCTGGGAACCCCGAAATCTCCCTGGAGCCTGTACAGAGGGTCTGACTGGAGGCCCACCACTGCTTCAATCGTGGGCGAGGTCAAGTTCAGGGCTACGTGGAATCCTGGAGAGACTGGCACATTAGCGTCTGTAAATACTAAGCTGGGAGCAATGGGAAGAAAAGGGAAGAAGTGTTTCCTATTTCCCTGCAGCCAACCCTCTGTATCACAGGAAATGAACTTTAAAATATATATATATATATATATATATTTTATTGATTTTTTTAAAATATATTTTATTGATTTTACACAGAGAGGAATTGAGAGGGACAGAGAGTTAGAAACGTCGATGAGAAAGAAACATCGACCAGCCGCCTCTTGTACACCCCCCACAGGGGATGTGCCCACAACCAAGGCACATGTCCTTGACCAGAATCGAACCCAGGACCTTTCAGTCCACAGGCCGACGCTCTATCCACTGAGCCAAACTGGTCCCGGCTATTTTATTGATTCTTTACAGAGAGGAAGGGAGAGAGATAGAGAGCTAGAACCGTCAATGAGAGAGAAACATCGACCAGCTGCCTGTTGCACACCCCCTACCGGGGATGTGCCTGCAACCAAGGTACTACATGCCCTTGACCAGAATCAACCTAGGACCTTTCAGTCCACAGACCAATGCTCTACCACTGAGCCAAACCGGTTTCGGCCACTGGAAATAAACTTGACAGGACACCCTGGAGGGCGGTGCGTCAGGCAGGGAGCAGGAAGGGCTCCTAGTGACGGAAGTGGAATCTGTGGAAAGGGCTGCGCCCTCCCTTCACTTCTCCGGGGAAATCACGATGCTCAAAGGAGAAGGGGCTCCCTGTGTCCCTGTGTGCTCAGCGCTTCCTTGTAGCCTCCCAGGGTGATATTATAATATTATCTCCTCCCTTAGAGAGCCTGGGAGTGAGTTCCTTTCCCCTGTTTTTCTGTGGGGAATGTGGGGTTGGGACTGAGGGCAGGTCACACAGTAGGAAGTGGGACAGCCTGGGAGGGACCAGGCAGGCTTGCTGCAGAGACTTCCTGCTCCTCCAGGAGGAATAAATCCGCTGGAGGAAGCCCTGGCACCCTGGGGAAGTCCCAGCGACACAGGAGCAAGACAGGTCACCACCCTCGTGGCCGGGGGTGGCATCTCATTGTGGATGGAGATTGCTCCTGGTCATGTGTGCATCTTCTTTGGAGCGATGTGACCTCTCTGTTTGCTTTTATCATTTAGCTGTAAGAATTCTTTATATATTCTAGGTAAAAGTGTCTTTCCAGAGATAAGGTTTCCACAAAATTCTCCCATTTTGTGAGTTCTTTACTTTCTTGAGAGTGTCTTTGGAAGAAAAGAAGTCTTACCTTTTAATGAAGCCCAAATTGTTTATTTTTTCTTGTGTTGATTTGGTGTTTGGTGTTATATCTACAAATCTGTTGACAATCTATGTCATGGAAATGTAGGCTTATGATTCTTGGTTTTTTAATCCATCTTTACTATTTTTATACGTACATTTAGTGGTATCAAATATATTTGCATTGTGGTGTCACAGATTTCCAGAAAGTTGTCATTTTTCAACCCTGGATCTCTATCCCAGATTAGACACTAATTCTGCCACCTTCTTCCCCAGACCTTGACAGCCATCCTTCTATGTTCTACCTTTGACTTTGACAACTTTCAATACTTAATGTGAGTGGAGTCACACAGTATTTGTCCTTTTGTGTTTTCTTATTTCACTTAACATTATATACTAAGGTTCATCCTCTTTGTGACTCATTTTCCTTGTTTTCAAGGCTCTTGGTATATACAGATCACACTACTTTATCTTCTCATCTGCGGATGGACATTGGATTTCTCTTAGCTATTGCAAAAACATCTAGCAATGAATGTGTGTGTGCAAATATATCAATTTATTTACTTATGTGTTTATTTATTTATGTTTAATCCTCACCCAAAGATATTTTAATATTTATTTCTAGAGAGAGTAGAAAAGTGAGGGAAAGACAGAGAAAAATATCAATATGAGAGAAACACATAGATTGCTTGCCTCCTTCATGAGCCTTGGACAGGGTCAGGCCAGGGAGAAGCGTGCAACCAAGGTACATGCCCTTGACCAGAATTGAACCCAGGAAATATCTCTTTTAGATCCTGCTTTGAATTCTTTTGGATACATATCCAGGAGTGGATTGTGGCATCGCATTGTAGTTATATTTTTAATTTTTTGAGAAATTTCCAACTTGGTGTATGTCCATCTTATAAAATGTTTATGTTGTTATTACAGATATGGATAATCAAAGTTATACATGGTGATAATTTTGGGAGTTATATATCCTTTATAATAAAAGCCTAATATGATAAATGTCTGGTCGTCCAGTCATCCATTCAACCAAAGTGTAATATGCTAATGACTAGAGGCCTGGTGCACAAAATTCATGCACAGGGTGTGTGTCGGAGGGATGTCCCTCAGCCCAGCCTGCACCCTCTCCAATCTGGGACACCTTGAGGGATGTCTGACTGCCCATTTAGGCCCAATCCTGGTAGGATTCCCTCACAATCCAGGAATGCTGGCTCCCAACTGCTCACCTGCCTGCCTTCTTGATTGTCGCTAACCGCTTTTGCCTGCCAGCCAGATCACCCCCTAACCACTCCCATGCCAGCCTGAATGATGCCTAACTGCTTCCCTGCCAGCCTGTTTGCCCCTAACTGCTGTCCCCTGCAGGCCCAGTTGCCCCCAACTTCCCTCCTCTGCCAGCCTGATCACCCCTAACTGTCCTCCCCTGCAGGCTCAATTGCTCCCAACCACCCTCTCTTATAAGCCTGGTCCCTCCCACTGTCTGCCCCTGCTGACCATCTTGTGGTAGCCATCTTGTGTCCATGTGGGGGCAGCCATCTTGTGTATTGGAATGATGGTGAATTTGCATTTTACTGTTTTATTAGATAGGGTGTATTAAGGGCACTCAGCTATTTGCTATGACATGCACTGACCACCAGGGAGCAGATGCTCTGACAAGGAGCAAAAAAAATAACACAGGGGTATAGAAT